AGACAACCGACAATGGCGATCCTCGGACAAAAAGGCAGCCCCATCGAGGGTGATCGCTTTGAACATCAATAAGTATGTGGTGATAATGCTATGCTCACCGCCTGTTTAAAGCCAAGGCCGATTGTGTACACCTGTGCACGCAACCTCAATGGGATGATCTCCGTGCAGTACACATCCGTGATCAACCCCAGCCCAATTGAGAAGAAGAGGACGTAAAAAAATCGCCAAGGCTTTGGCCATGTCCACTGCCCACGAGAGCTTCAAGCTGAGGGACACTCCAGGGGACACAAGCAAAAAGAACACAACAATGGCCGCTACACGACCCGATCAACGAGCAAGCTGGCAAGGAGGAAGACCATTATCTTCACTATGTCAATCATAATATTCGCGACATACTTTCCGGCAGACATGGTGATGCTGACCCTCTTGAAAACCTTAAGACTAAAGGGCACCAGGTGGTCCACACCACATGCATGTTGGACGACCTGGATTCTAATAGCACATAGGAGCATATGCTCGAGGATTAGGTTGGGTGGAGGAAATCCCGCCATACGCCGGTGTTCTGCAACAGTTGATTCATTGGTGTTTTAAGCCTACAGAGGAAACATAAGTATTATTGATAAATTGATGACATAACAAGCATTTATTGCAATCAAAATTACCTAACTACACCGAAAAAAAATAGAAGCCACGAAGAAGGGTGCATAGGTCTTCCTCTCAAATATTTTTTTTTTATAGGTAAAAGAAAAGATTACTGCACACGTGCAATCCACGTGCTATACTCGTGCAATCCACATGTATGGAAAAGAAATGTATAAATCTTTCTTATTTTCATAATTAATCGATTTATATGAGAAAATGTCATATCTATAATATTTTTGATAGGTATATTTGGAATATGTTGATTCAAAGTCATTTATTTTTTTGTAATTAATTAATATTAATAGATCTTTTTCATCTGAATGTCTTTTTTTTAAAATTATTATTTTGCACTATACGAGAATGGTTGAACGGTTATTCAAACCGAAGGAAAATGAGAGGCATCATATTAAATCCATAGTGGATGGGAGAAGTTCTACAATCGCTAAAAGTAATGAAGAGGGGTCCTGAAAATATTTTTTAAGTCATGGAATTCATAACCACTTTAAATGGGTTATAGTGGTTTGAATGGTTGAATTGTGGTAAATGCCAGACAACCGACAATGGCGATCCTCGGACTAAAAAGGCAGCCCCATCGAGGGTGATCGCTTTGAGCATCAATAAGTATGTGGTGATAATGCTATGCTTACCGCCTGTTTAAAGCCGAGGCCGATTGTGTACGCCTGTGCACGCAACCTCAATGGGATGATCTCTGTGCAGTACACATCCGTGATCGGCCCTAGCCCGATTGAGAAGAAGAGGACGTAAAAAATCGCCAAGGCTTTGGCCATGTCCACTGCCCACGAGAGCTTCAAGCTGAGAGACACTCCAAGGGACACAAGCGAAAAGAACACAACAATGGCCGCTGCTCGACCCGGTCAACAAGCAAGCTAGCAATGAGGAAGACCATTATCTTCACCATGTCAATCACAATATTCGCGACAAGCTTTCCAGCAAACATGGTGATGCGGACCCTCTTGAAAACCTTAAGGCTAAAGGGCGCCAGGGTGTCCACACCACATGCATGTTGGACGACCTGGATTCCAACATCACATAGGAGCATATGCCCAAGGGACTAGGTGGAGGATATGCCGCCATACGTAGGTGTTCTGCAACAGTTGATTCATTGGTGTTTTAAGCTTGCAGAGAAAACATAAGTACTATCGACAAATTGATGTCATAACAAGCATTTATTGCAATCAAAATTACCTAATCACATCGAAAAAAATAGAAGCCACGAAGAAGGGTGCATTGGTCTTCCTCTCAAATACTTTTTTTTATAGGTAAAAGAAAAGATTATTATACACGTGCAATTCACGTGCAATCCACGTGCAATGCACATGCTATAGTGCAATCCACGTGTAAGGAAAAGAAACGTATAAATCGTTCTTATTTTCATAATTAATCGATTTATATGAGAAAAGGTCATATCTATAGTATTTTTTAAAGGTATATTTGGAATATGGTAATGAATTCGATTCAAAATCATTCAATTTTTTGTTATTAATTAATATTAATAGATCTTTTCATCTGAATGTCTTCTTTTTTAAAATCTTTATTTTGCAGTATACGAGAATAGTTGAATGGTTATTCAAACTGACTAAGAATGAGAGGCATCATATTAAAATCATAGTGGATGGGAGAAGTTCTACAATCGTTAAAAGCAATGAAGGGGGCCTTGAAAATATTTTTTAGGCCATGGAGTTCACAATCACTTTAAATGGGTTATAGTGGTTTGAATGGTTGAACCGTGGTAAATGCCAATTCTATTTGGTACACTCACCACTATAGTTCAAATTACTCAACCAGACAGGAATTACTTCTGGCTGCCAGTTGAATTGGCTGGTCTAGTCCCGCTTGCAAAACAATAATTCCAGTAAGGATCGTTAGTCTCTATTGGGATCAAATGTTCAGGTGACAGCAGAATCATAAGATCAGGAAAACTAATTGCTAGAAGTGAAATCATCCCACCTAGTTTGTCTGATAATGTATAGGAAATTGAGGTCAAATATATACCTATCTTTCCATTAGAAGTGAAGCACAAAAGTCATGGTTTTGAATATCTCAGTGAAGCTAGACAACGTGAGAAAAAGGAATTTTGATCATTATTGCCTAGAAGTTGATTAAATACACGTACATTTTACTATGCATACTGTAGACTTATCTGAAGTCAAATTCATATTGCTGGGATTTAAATCTCTCATCTATAAGTACTTTTGACATATCAATCAAGATAAATGTAAAAGAGAAAAGTAAACGTGGTTTTTAATCCAATTTCATAAGAGACAACACTCAGTACCAATCTTCTTCAGAACCTCTAACATAATAAAATTTTACAGTGTTGGGCACTTAATTGAACGTATATAAAGTTTTAGAACTGTACAGAAGTAGGAAGGAACCATCTCCTTGAGTAGAACATATGAAAACCATCCCACCGATCAGCTGGAGCAACATCAAAAAAATAAAGGTGAACTCACTAAGCCAAAGATTGTGGATGGTTCATCCATGGTTTGATTAATGCCTTGATTGCTAGAGACATGATGATGCACAATACATCTCCTTGACAAATAGGCTTCATGTTTACTTTGGACATTGAGAGAAATAATGTATCATTAAGTCAACATTTTCCTTTATTGAGAGATGAATGTGACATACCTCTTTCTTGGAAGAAGGAAGAACATTAGGTATCATAAAGTCAACATTTTCCTTTATGTCGGTATTAGATTGATTTGTGGTCAAGTGGTTGAATGGGTTGAAGTAACATTTGGCTCTTTTTTATTATTATGTTGGAGACATTTTTATACAAGTTTTGTTTTCCAGTACATATGTTACATCTAAAGCTTTTTATGTCCACAGACTCTGGACCGTATTCTTTCGGTCTGATGATATCATGGTACTTTATTAACTTATGTTATCTCTGTAGGCAATTCTATGTGCAGATCCGTACCCCAATGTGGCCTTCACCGAGCTAGGAATGGCTAGGGCAGCTCTCGGCAATCTTAACTGTCAGCTGGTTCGTCTTCCAAGGGTAGTCTAGCTTGGTATGATGGAAGAAGAGAAGTTTACATACATCATACTTCCATCAACAGTAGCCTTCGTTCATTTCAGTACCCATTTCTGGTCTTTCTTGAAAAGGATTGTGAAGTTGTAGATAATCAATTGTATTGATGTTTTCTTAATCTTCTACTTTTGTATCTGTTCCCAAAATTATAAAAATCTGTTCCAAGCTCAGCTCTATGACTTGTTGATACCATTTTTTTCTTTCTTTTGACCTCCATCTCTATTTGTCGACCTTTCCCCTGTTTTTTCTCCCCTGGCTTTTCTCTATTGTTGTTAAACCATGAAAACTAGGATCATAAGAAATGTCAACTCATTCTTTTTCTATATTGGTATGAATCGGACAACTGGAGAGGTTTGGTGATGAAACTAACTGGACATTCATTATTTTCAATGGGGATGTACACATGATCTTGTTCACTCCATGTCAAATAAGGGGTTCAAGCGGGGGTCACTTCGAGCAAATCGTAATTGTTAAAATCTTTATTGGGAAAGGCCGGTAGAAAGAGCTCAAAATGTTGCCTCCAACCTCGAATTGCACTAAGTTCCTGATCTACATGTATGAGGACGACTACAAATTTTTCTGGGCACATTGATCTAGCTAGAATTTTGTATTATTGGTCAGACAAATAATTATTTATTGACTCGAAGGAATTCAATTTGTCTAGCGGTACTTTCTGGCAGCACATAATCTGATGCCTAAATTAGGTCTCGGAGTTTTAGATGTCACAAGAATCAGTTTCCATGTTGGCATTGCTCTACTTTGCCATAAACCTCATAGAATAACCGTTTCATGACGGAGAATTTGCTCAGTTTGTTTCTCTGGATAGTGGGTAGAGCTTTTTATATGTCTGATAAGCATAAGCTGATATAGAATGCTCTTTCCTGAATTGACAACGATAGATTGACACATTTGAAACCTGGAGTTTATCTGGTTTTAATCATCAAGAAAGAGCTGAAATTATTGAGTGTCATATTACCGTTTACACACTCGCACGATCTTTTCGGGTTCTTTTTTATCTTTTCAACATGTGATTAGCCCCCGATACGAATGTTAAGAAAATGATAAAGCGTGTACTATTTAATAATTATAAAAAAAATTACAAGAAATATCTTTCAAAGAAAAATCAAGAAAGAAAGAGAAAAAAGAGCCACTGCTGTGTAGTATCACCCAAACTATCAGTAACAGAGTTTGTGGGCTCGTCTTAGTGGGACGGGCTTGAAAGTGTCTGGGCCGGTTCAGGCCCACAATCAGGCCCATCGATCTCTCCCTCTCCGTCGAGAGAGGGGTCGCAGCTTCTTGAACTTCAGCCGCCGTCGAGCTCCGCCGTGCTCGATCACCTCCCGTTCGGGCCGATCGCCGGAGATAGCTGCGAAGAAAAATGAGCGGCGAGGACGATGCGTGACGAATCGTCCACGGTCCTGGCAGGCCGCCGGTTTCGCCTGATCAGCAACTCGCAGGGTTTCTTGTTCATAGATGACTGAACGAATCCTGAGCGAAATCTCTGAACTTGACTTTTGCTGATGTGTTTTGCGCTCCGGAATTGGCGTTCTGTTGCCTTCTTTTGCAAGCAGTGAACGTGGTCGCCACTCAGATTGAGCAACCGAAGCTCACGAACGCTATCATGAGGTCAGTCTCGGTGCTTTACGTAAATTTGGAATTTGATTGTTTGGTTATCGGTTAGGCGTTTGAGTCAAATTGCGCCATTGGAGGACCTCCATCACGTGAAACGGGTGAAGAAGAAGTGTCTGGAAGGAGGTGCATTCTGGGTTCACGAGCATAGTGGTGTCTCTTTTCGTTACTGGTGTGATTGGTCACTTAATGATAATCATATCTGAACATCATCGTTTCTCGCGTCTTTGGAATTGTGTAGTTGCTTAACTAGGTCTTTCTATTGCCTTTTGTTCCTGGGTTACCCTTTAAAAGATCAATGAAGGTCATCGAAATATTGTTTTCCTCATGCGAAGGTCGTTTAACAGGAAAGAAATGTCTGTTGTTTATACTCGCGCATGTCGTTCTTGATCAGACATCAGTCTTGTGTACTTACTGCTCTTTAAGTAATAGGAAAGAGGGAACAGAATCTCTGACCCCATACATGTCAATTGTTCTCAGATCGAAGAAATTATACCTGAACTTTTAAGCCCCAAAGCTATTTGAAAGCTTTTTCTGCATTGGAAGCACCGTAAGTCATTAAATTGAGTATAGCAGGTCAATCAGCCTGAGATTTTTAAAGTCATATTCACATAATTGGTGTAATTCCTCTACAAGACACTTCCTCCTAAGCCACACTCTAGAGTGAGTGATGAAGCTGCGGTTTTCAATGGATGGTTTGCTTTTGTTGTGGGGTGAATGAGGGGTGCTCCTTGCCTCCTCCAGTTTGCATGCATATCCTAAATTTTCTCCTCCTATTGCTGGAATGAAAAACAAAATGCCTGATTCAAGAGGAATGTTTTCTGCCGAAATTCAAATGCTACCATTGGTTTCTGGTCTTTAGCTTGTTTTCTGATATGTATTAGCTATGTAAGGTGTTGAAAAACCTGATGAACAATTATGAAAACAACCTGTATTGATTGTTCATTTAAGTGCTCAGTTTGTTGTTTTTCCCTTATCAATATGAGAATTGATTGAATAGGATTACAGTACCTCTTATGTGCACATGATGCGTGGAAAAGGAACATTAGCAGCAAGTAAATAGGATTCAAAGATCAGAAAGTTGAGACAACAAGAAACCAAACAAAAACAGTAATTTGCTTTTGAGGATGAACTGGTTATCGTCTCGAAGAATCTTCTAATTATTTCCTATGCAAGGTCCATTTGATGGAAACCCAGGATAGGTGTTCGTATTTTTTCATTGACAAATCATCTTTTTCCTACCAGCTTTTCAACGATGCTTTAACTGATTTCTTATGGATTTCTTGAACTGTCTGGATGTTGTATTTGACAGGAAAATTCAGATATCAGTGATCTTATGTCTGGCTCCTGAAAATGGTGATTTTGATGGAATTCCATGTGACGTGAAGGATGTAATTAATTCTTATCAGTTGAGTCCTTTTGTGGCAAAAGTGGGTTATTTTCTTGTTAGCATTTCATGTTGATTTTCCCATAATTTACACTATCTTCAATAACTTGTAGAGAGAATCATATGCAGTTTTGACCAGTTATGGTATCCATCAGTGGTGATGTTTACTTTCGGAGCATCTTACGTTACCATTAACTGCCGGCACATTTGACATCTGTTCATGCCTTTTCTCTTCTCACATTTTGCAAGTTCTGGAAAAATTTTATTTCGCGAATTCTCCCTCAATTATGTTTTGAAGGGACATCTCATTTAAGTAACTAATGCATATCCGTTGATAAGTCTGCATCGAACTGTCATTTAGCTGAAAAGAGTTTGTTCGAAATGATCTCCTTTCTGCTGCTTTAGGAGGTATAGTTGTGTTTATGACCAAAGTGGACAATTATGGGCTTCGCTTGGGAATTTCTTTTGGTCTTTGTAGTTTTTTTTTCAATGCTTTATAGGTTATTATGCCATAGAGGGCTTCTTGGTATTGGTTGTCATATACTAATATTGTTTGCTCTATTATGTCCGCGTCCAGTGAACTGTACTTTCAAGTGAATGAATATTTGGAACATCTTTACTGGTTCATCGTTATAAAGAAACAGTAAATACCTGCATTGTCAATGGCATTAGATACTGTAACATAGCACTTCAGTGACTGGATAGGATATCACTGTATATGTAGATCAATTTGGCTTTCAAACCTAAACGAAATTTCCATCTCTTGAATAATGTCATTTTTCTTTTTCATCATTTAAATTGTTTTTTTTAATTTCATTATGGCATGAAAAGAAGCCATGTTTATAGTCTGGAATAAAGACAGTTTAGGATATACCATATCGTATCTAATGTTAGGTAAAAGTGTGAATCCTTCTCAAAATTTTCAAAGTGCACAGATTATTTGATATTAGGAAAGTCTATTAGTAGTAAATAAAAATTTAATGCTTTATCTGCTGCATATCATGCTTTTCTCAATCTGTATATATTTGTAATTCAAACATGCTTGTAAGAAGATATACTACATAAGAACTCCTGTAACATGTAGCCTGAAATGGCGTTGTTTCACTTCATTATGTGATGGCAAAGTGGGATTTTGTTCTTTGTACTTATTCGTGCTAATTTGCAATAGGTCTACAAATATGCTGCATCGTCAAACGAAGAGTGGGTAGAACAGTGCAAGCTATGGCCCACCTCATACCATCCACCAACCTAGTACGTCTCTTTTAAATTTTCCCATCAGTAACGGTAATGCAAGTTCATGTCTTAAGATCAACGTTTTGCCATCATGTTTGAGGACATTTTTGCGGGCTTAGGGTATTTGCATGAGCATGTGTAGATGTCTCTGATTCTAATGTTGTGTCAAACTAAGCAGCAGGTTAAGGTGGTTTTTCCGGGATAACTTTCTTATGAATTTCAAGAATCTCTTGGGCAGCTTTTGGTGTTCATTTTATACTTTTTACCTCTTTCATAATTTATTTCCAAGTGGATAAGTTGGAAGTTGGAGTCTGAAAACCATGGACTTACAAAAAGTTGCAGTTTGAGTGCCCATCTCAAATTTGATAAGCTTTGTTTTTAAAAATTTATGATGTGATTGATTTTACTTCGTTCAGCTGAGTTATATCAGTTTTGGTTGCATCTGGACTGAGAGGAGTTTTGGGTCATAGATAAACGAGAGAAGTTACTCTCAAGGAATAAAAGATCAAGCCATCTCCATCATGCATAATGGTTGCTAATGAATCATGACTATATAGACCAAGGGTTGACTAGTTGGTTGGAACTCTTTTAAAGGCACTAGGCCAGGTTTAAGTCTTATTATTCTCCTCTCTCACCTTTTGCAATCAAACTTAAGCTTCACCACTTTGCATAACGCAATTCAATGGAGTTTGTGCAAATCTTTGTTCTTTTTTTTCACATTTCCTAATTTTACTTCTTGTTGATGATCACAAGGAACTATCTGTTCCTCTATATTCATGTGTATTATGTGCAGTTCTGTCAATACCGATACATTCTCTTGACTTCTGATTTTCCACATATCAGCAATATCAGTGGCATAACTGGGTTTAGTGAAGAAGACTCACGATCAGTTGTAAGTTTTATGAACTATGCTCTGGAATTGGCGAAATCTCATGGTAATGTGGTAAGTGTTCGGGTATGACATTAACTTGTGATTAATGAATGCAACTTTGTTTGATTTCTTCAACTTTGCATCTAATTATATCTCAGACTAGTGTACATGCTTGACGAGTATCATTTCTAACTGTTTTTTTTTTTTTTTTTTTTTTTGGATGACCCAGGGAACCCCCGCACAGCCGACAGCCGGGAGGTAAACCCTGGGGGCGACACGTGCTAGCCACCACACACGTGCACCGGTTAAGTCACCCTGCGGCACCCGGGATTCGAACACTCAACCTTTTGCGAGAGGAAGAGTGCACGCTCCAGCAGCGCCACCCAGGCGGGTGGTATCATTTCTAACTGTTCGTGTTTGCACTTTCAATATTTTGCCCATCAAGCCTTCGAGGGTTCACCATAGCTTGCATTGGCTCATGGGTATCATTTTGGGTTCAGTAACAGGAAGTGAGATTTTCCTGTTGTAATTAACGTGACAGGAAAGTGAAGTTTTTGTGTGAAAGTCATATTTATTGACTTTTGTACCAAATACAAGAAGAAATCTGTTCTATAATAGGGGAAAACAATCTAATCATTTCGAAGGTTGGGTCCTTTAGACAGTTATCCCTTAAAATGTTCATGCATAGACATAGTAAAATAGAGGTTTCGGGAAGGAATTGTAGCACTTAATGTTGCTCCCCAGTTGTGCGTCCAATTTTTTATATATGCTGGTGTATGCACCTCTTATGTTGCGCAAATTTTGCTTTTGTTACACCCTTCTCTTGTCTACAGGTGGTCAATGCTGCAGCCATTGTAGATCATCTGTCTAATCAAGTGATTGCAAGCGCATGTGATGAAGTCTGCTCTTGGCATACTCCAAAAACAGAAGTTGGTGCTGAATTTAGTAGTTCCACCAAAACTCCTGCTGACATGACTGGATGGATAAAACATGAATTAGGTCTTCAGCGTTGTTCCTCGGGTGGGCCAGAGCAAGTTGAGACATCCATTTCTTGTCTACATCCTCGGTGGTGGGTAGGTGAACGGACTCGCAGGAGCTCTTCTTTTTGGCACCCGTTGCAACATGCTGCTATAGTGGCCATTGAATCATCTGCTGCCAGGGACAGATGCTTATTCCCTGATGTGAGATACAAAGATGAAGCTACCAAAGAGGAGTGTATTCTATCTCCTGCAAAGTCTCAAGCAAAAAGACGGAAAAGTGATGGCACTGACGTAAGCTTTTCCTTTACATGTGAAGGAAATCCTGGCAAGCCTTTCCAACTTGACAATGGCATCTAAGTGTCATCTGTTTCTTTGTTTCGAAGTGCAAGATTTTTTCTCAACATTTGCGAATATCATCATAGTAGTTCATCTATTATTGCTCAACTCAACTCCAATTAGCTCTCGGATGGTTGGTTGGGTGCATGTTATAATCATCCCTTAGTCAATTTCATTGTCTCGATAGACTTGCTAATAGTCAACTCTTTATATACAATGATTAGTAGGTGAACAACATTTGATGACACGTAGACTCAACCAATAATACATGCACTGTCCACCAAATAACTAGTCGGCACTAAAGATGAAATGCTCGAGGATTATTTGACACTGAACATATGGAACCAACTATTGCATTTGATTCTATACCTTGATTCTCTGCCTCTTCTTTGCATTTAATCAGACAATATTTCGGCTTGGCACTGACATCTATGTAATTGTGGGAATTCAGGTCGACAATGGTGACAAAAATGATGATGCTTGTGGCAATGGTGATCTCTCTAGTAGACCGTATTTATGCACTGGCAACGACATCTACCTTGTTTGGGAGCCATGCACAATGTAAGTTAAATAAATTTACTGCAACTGTCTGGTTTGGTGCATGTACAGGCTATTTGGCTGATTACCCTTTGCCAAAATATCTGAGATTCTGCCTCAGACAGTAGTGGTTCTTTGCACATGCACTTTACATTCCTGTCGTCTTTCTAGATTAGATATTTTTCACATTTGAGAGGGAGAGTTGCATTTCATTTGGCGTAACAAGCGTTAAGAGTTGTAGATTTTCTGAAATAGAGTGATGAATTGCCTGATATTGAGCTTTTCTCTTACATCTCGTCTTGTTTAAGGTGTGCGATGGCACTTATGCATCAGAGAATCAGGCGTGTGTTTTACGCTTTTCCAAATCCGAGTGTGGGAGCATTGGGCAGCGTTCACCGGCTGCAGGGCCAAAAAAGCTTGAATCATCACTATGCAGTGTTCAGGGTTGTGATGCTACAGGATATCCTCGACAAAGCCAAAACATCGATATGTGGGAGCTGAGGATGAGAATGTCGAGTTGTGGATGTCGAGTTAAGGATGCCTCAAATTTTGCAGGAAGAAGATAGTAGGAAGATATGTATTGCATTATTTATCTTCTTGGTCATTGGATTTTGGACTTCTTTTTCCCCTTTCTAATCTTGTTCGAGTTATGTATTGAATTTAGATGTCCATATTTAAGTTAAAGACATTCCACAGTTATTATAAAGTTGGCCCTCATGCTGTGTTCTTATAAATGAGAGAATGAAATATACGGATCAAGGAACTGGGGAGATGGTATTGTAATTGGGAAAGAAGCATCTGAAAGACTCGCAAGATGTCTTGTTGAGTTGAAATGTCCACCGGCTTGAAATTGGCTATGGCTTGGGCAATATCTTCGGAAGACCCGATCTGTAACTTATTCGAAGAGTTCATAATCTCTGTCCTTCCATTTCCTTGTAACAATGCATCTCTGCTCTTCTAAGATCTTTCGAACCATTTGCAAACTCAAAAGTTTTTACAGCTAGGTAATTTTTGCTGATTATAGCTTGTGTAGTTGTCGCGACCTACCTCACGAGGGCCGAACTCAATAAGGCGGGTTTAGAGGTAAATGTTCATGAAACAGTCCATACGGCACATCATAAAAGACGGTTTATCGAAACGTCAATCTTTTAGTCATCCGTACGGTCCATTAATCATGAATGCGGATCTTTCCTAATCCATACCTCGCGTGACAGCGGATCAATTTTATCTTTTTTAGGAGTCGCCACTAGCCTATGTCGGGGGTTGGCTAGAATACCCAACCAATACGCGGGAATTTCGTATTGGTTTCTGCGAGAACCAAAGATCATAGGTTCGGGGATTAACTTACGTTAATATTTCTATTAACACCCTTTCGGTACCGCTAAACTAATCAAGGTTGTTATCTAAGTTGTCATGTATTTGTTTTTTCACTATTTTCATGCCAAAGCCTTAGTCCACTAGGTGATCATATATTTTGTTTTTGTGTTTTCATTTAAGATTCTAAACTAATCCTATCTTAATCTAGAAAAGAAAGAAAGAAACAATTGTATTGAAAGATATTGCGTAAAGTAAACAACCAAGGTATTGAAAAAGCAAAGCTAATTCTAAATACAAGAAAATAAAACCCGCGACTCGTCGAGTGTTTATTACAACACGAATTGAAAGACCGAGACATATGTCGGGTAATAAATGAATTTTTACAATTGAAATGGTCAGAGAGGACATCGACCATCACCGTATACAAGGAATTGGGTCGGAACGGACATCGACCTTTGCCATCTTCAAGACCGCCGTCTTCTTGGACCTATTCTAATTCTAAAGCTAAACTAGACTAGGGGCATGTTTAGTTCGGAATTTGGGGAAAGCCTTTGGCCAAATGCAAAGACATTTAGCACAAAGGGCTTTGGGGAAATGCAAGACTATTTGGCAAACATCCATTGAAAAGTGCTTTAGGGAAATGCAAGCTGTTTGGTAAACATATATTTGGAAAGTCCTTTGGTGTAACCAATTTATGTTTTTTTAATTTTAATTGTTTAAAATTGAAGTAAAAAAAATAATGATGGTAACTTTTATATTTTCGCGACAGGAATAACATAATAGAAATATATTAACAAATTTTAAAAAAAAGGAGTCATTTCATTATAATACACATCACATGTCCCTAAGAATGAAATACATTATCCTTAAATATTACAAACATCTTTAATGACTTTGTAAACTCATGGCTATTTCATCACATAAACATGCTTCTATATGTTGATATACTCATCCTAACATGCTTCAGTGACTAGCTACATCGAAATCTAGTGCATGACTTAGAATCAAGCTTCGGACTTAGCCATGCTAAACACAAATGAAACTCAATGAACATCAATCAACAACAACTGAGCTAATAGCTCATAGCTCAAGATTGACGTGAAGTCGCCCCGAATAGAGTTGAACAGAGGTTTAGCAACAAAAAGCTTCATCCTAGTTTGAATTGGAGTTCAAAGTCACAGAAAGCGTCAAATATTGGAGTTCCATCTCAGTAACATAGACATTAGCATGTCATTGACAAACATCCTCCTTCAGAATTTGATTTGTCCCAAATAATTCAGAACCGTAATCACCAAGAATAATAGATAATACCCAAATTAAGCGTACCTAAGCAAGGAGACGAGGCAAGGCGAGGCTGGCGAGGAGGCAAGGCGAGGCTGGCGAGGAGGCAATGCGAGGTTGGCAAGTAAGGCGAGGCCGGCGAGGCGAGGCCGGAGAGTGAGGCGAGGCCGGAGAGTGAGGCGCGACGAGCCGAGCGAGAGAGTTCAACAAGCAAGTAGGCGAGGCGAGGCGGGCGAGCAAGGCGAGGTGAGGCCAGAGAGTGAGGCGAGGTCGTCGAGTGAGTCGCGGCAAGCCGAGCGAGGGAGGTCGACGAGCGAGGAGGCGACGCGAGGCCGACGAGCAAGGCGACGCGAGGCCGGCGAGCAAGGCGACACGAGGCCGGAGAGGAGGCGACGCGAGGCCGGAGAGTGAGGCGAGGTCGGCGAGCGAGGCGTCGCGAGTCGAGCAAGGGAGATCAATGAGCGAGGTGAGCAAGGGAGGTGAGCGTGACTGAGCGAAAGAAAAGAGAGTGAGGAGGTGAGGGGACAAGAAGACTAGGGTTTCTCTTTTTTAAATAGGCAAAAGTGGGTTTTTAGACAAATTTTGAGGGCAAAAAAGGCAACTAACATATTTTCATTAATTGGAGTATTAGCATTCCGAGAATGCTGAAAGCTCAAGGCACCCCTAGGGTGCCTTGAGCTTTCAGCCTTGAGAAGGCCAATATTTGGCCAAAGAGTTCCACAAATAATTTGCCAAACACTCTATAATTCCCCCAAAGGGCTTTGGAGGCTCAAAGCTGCTTTACAAAGCCGAACCAAACACCCCCTAGGTACATACAAGGGAAATGAACATCATAATGTTCACAAAACACAATAATTGTCCATACAAGAGAACGCAATATGCAAGAAGATACAAATATGCAAATGTAATCACAACAATGGCCTCGAGATCAGCCTTTGGTTTAAACATGCGTCATCCTCATCTAACGATCTACCCACTCCATTTTAATGATGACTTATGTACATTAGCCACCAAGCACGTTCGTTTATAGTGACTAACATGACATAGTCCTTAATTGGGGTTCTATGTGAAGCCATAGATATCCCCTCGAGCATGCATCGGTTCCTATCATACATCTAGAAAGCACATGCATCAAGCTTAAAATAAGCATGCAAGTAGGTCACAAAGACCTTAATTCTCATCCAATCACTCAATTTAGTGAACCGACATCGGGTCACTTTATTCCATTCATCATGTGACAATTCATAAAAGAAAGACAAAGAACAGCAGAACAGGGGAAGAAAGACCTATTTAACAGAACATGACCCATGCGAAATTAAGTTCTGGAAAAATTGTGGTAGCTTAAGCACACAATGAGGAACAACTTTCATAGAGAAAGTTTTCCTAAAAAATGTTCACATGATTTTATAAAAATTCGGGAACACAATTAAATGTGTCAGAAAAAAAGGATTGCTGCAGTTTTTGTTGCAAAGATGAGGCCATTTGCCTTACCATTTGATGCTTAATAATTCCGAAATTTTGACACAATGTAATTCAATGAATGTCCTACAACTTTCATTAAGGGTCTGACCTCTGATTATTTGTAGAAAAATCGATAAAAAATCAACAAGAGGTCTGACTTACTTTGGACAGAACAGGGGTTCCGAATTTGCAAGTTGCTAATCCTAATGCAAACTTGTAAAGAAAATGGAAAAATGACCTAAATGACAGACAAATGACATGTTCTTGGTGTCTATGGAAACCCCATGACATGTATGATGACTTACCAAGAGGGCATGAATCCAATTAAGTCCAACTTTAAGCTTAATTTCATGAAAATATGTCAATGCACTAACTAATGTCAATGACATTTCATGGGTGACAAAAATGAGCTAAAATGATGCATGAAATGTATGAAAATTTAACATGGATTAGGACTAGATGCAATGACAAAGAGGATATAGTCATCTAATCCTAATTACATGAGCAAATGACCATACAAGTCCATGAACTATTAAGCATGATATAATGTTCATGATGCATGAAATGCAATATGACAGAACATGGTAGCATGTTTGTGCATAATTTTAAACTACCAAATGATGTGCAAAAAATGCATGTAATACGTCAATGCGAAGCTTGAATAGCCCTTCACAAAAGTCTAGAAGACTTCACGTTCTAATTGTGAACAGAAAAATTCCTATAAAATTGGCAAGAGTGCTACATGAACAGCTTAATCCCTAATTGACAGATTTATGGGTTAAGGAATTTCAATTGATTAAACACACTAATGACGAGCAATTGATGCATGGAGAGTGTCACTAGTGAGCTAACATGATGCTCTATGATAGTCATGAAGGTCACTTGAACAATTAAGTCCAATTTTACAATGAATTTTGCAGGAATGCAATTCGGATCAGTACAGGGCAGAATGAAAAACTTGAGAATATGAGATGATTTCAAGTACCAAATGTTGCCTAAAAATTCTGAGAAAAATATATCACGTGCACGAGACCTGAATTTACAAGTTCACAGAAGGATGCAACTCGAAAATCAATTTTCCTTGCTCTGTACAAAAATAGTAAAATGTGCAGTTTCAGTTCGGTTACAGCCAAAAACCAATGTACCCTTGCTGCAACTTTGAAAATCGATTTCAGGTGCCAAATGAACTTCGATCAGGGATATCTTTAGCATTTCAAAGACTGATTGGAGTGCTTTACAAACTTCGTTAAGGACTCTAAGCCAGAAAATGTCGATTTCAAGCTCAAACGAAGATGTTTGAGCAAGTTCATTTCGGGTTCCAGTATAGGCAGACAAGACCTAGGGTTGAATTAAGGAATTTTCACCTATTGAATGAACTCCTAAAAATCTGAGCAAAAAGTATGTCATGATCGAGATCCTAATGAACGATTTTCGTGAAGGAAAGATCGCCAAAATCAACTCACAAAAATCGGCATAAAATCAGCAAAACTATCAGACATTCAATAACAGATTTAAGCTTTAACATAAACATATTGCAGAACAGAGAGCCGAGATTTCGAGGGGATTTTGAGGTAGTAAACGAACTTCATTTTGGACGGATAATATGTCGAATCGAAGCTTAGGAAGTATAGATCAAATGTCTAGAAGGACTCGAAGCATGATTTCAACATTTAAGATCATTTAAGACCTTGTTTCAGCTCTAATAGAATCTGTGTTCAGAGAGCAAAGAAATTAACAGAACATTCTTATGCAATCATTCATCAATCAGAGCACTCCAAGCCTCCGATCACACAATCAACTCATCATCCTCCATATATACATCAGCAGCACCCCTTAGCATCTATCCATGGCAAGCCTAAGGCGAGTTCTAGCCCCGGACGCCT